ACGATGCTTTTCCTTGTGTGTCAGTAACCGTCTGTTCGCTGGAGGTCAATCCACGTCGTTGACCCTCTAGATCTTCGTGTGAGAAATGGAAGTAGTGAACACGAATGATACGACCACACGTGTCAATACTTCGTATTCGCTATGTATGGACTATACGAGGTTGTTCGTTTATGAATAACGTCGGGACCAAGGCTAGGGCAGAGAATGTACGTATTTCATTCGATTTAAATGACGCCGGGAAGACACCTACGCTTGCCGCATGGAACACAAATATTACTCAAAACTGAGTGATTCCATAGAATATCTCTAATATCACGCATTGTATTTTTATTAATTAGTCACTCTAATTAATTTGAACCATTCTTCGATTAAAATTGCATGTGTGTTGTTATGTCTTCATATGTGTTTATGCGTTGAATACCGTTTATGCAATTCGGAAATGCGTTAACTATATAATACCTACAGAATTATGAAAAATATTGTATATATATATAAGTGTATCAGTATATTAGCACGTCAGCATGTATCGTTGCCTATTATTTGAAAAAATACTGCATGATGACGAAACTCATTAGACTTTTTTAAAATTTTGTGATACATGTGATGCATTGATGTAATTTGATGTTATCTGTTACTATGTACGCTTGCAATTAGTGTAGCATCGCGATAACAGAAATCTATTATATCTTATTATATCTTATTTTTTTATTTCTCGTTCTCCGATATCGTCTGGGACCTGAATTTTACCGAAAAAAAGCAATATCTTCGTGACTTCTAAGAAATCATTTAAATTATAGCATTTTACTATGACATAATTACAATAGGACGAAAAATTGATGTTACTTTTTTATGGATTCTTAAGAAACATACAAAAGCGCTGCACATCGTGTTTTCAAAATATCTTCATTATCCTTATACAGTTCGACCTCGCATCACAATCACGTGGCATTGAGAAAATCATCCTGATTCAATGGCGAATGGTTCATGGTGAATCGAAATTACGTTCATTGCCGTATAGCCTTTTATAGTTGCACCGTACGTGAACCGAACTGAAATACAATATATCTTCCGGGAATATCGCTTAGGCATTCTTTCATATTGACTTTTAGAGATACTCAGATCATGGCGTTATGAAATTGCGTTATTTTCAAACTAAAAACTGGGAAAATCATACTAAATATTATATTTTGAATCGCAAAGAAGCGATACATTCTAATTGAATAATTAGAATGTATCAATAAATTAAATATAACTTTACAACTCTTTGTCTATCTTTGAAGAAACACAATCGGAACAAATCACATTGATTGAATCCTGATTTAAGATGAAAATCTAATTACTTTGCTAGCTGATATTAGGAGCGTTGGAAAAATGTGCTTACAATTAAAAGAAAAATATTCGCGTATATTCCACTGATTTAACATAACTTGTAGTTATGAGATCCTTGAATCTCGTTTAACGTTTCTAATTGATAGTGATTCTATTTTATCTTTCATGTTATTTACAAACAGTAATAAAAAATTATATATGGAAAATTGTGGCGGAAATATTCATCTGACGAATTTTCACACATGGATTTTTTTTTCTTCTTTTATACACCGGTAAAATCTCGAAACTGACAGTATATAATGAGCGACACGTATTAATCGTTTATCTCTTTACCACATCACATTATTCATCATGTTGATAAAGAATTTATTCTTGAGGCACATTGTGTAGAACATTGCACATGTTTTCCTCTTTCGGCTTGGAATAAAAAAGACGAAGTAGTAAAGACACTAAATCAATACATATGGCACAAATTAGCTCTATTACTCGATATTTATGCGTCCAGGACGAAGTTAAATAAAAACATCAAGGTAAAAGAAAGATTTTATATCTAATTGTAAAATAATGCTACCAAATAATTTCAAATTGTCAGTATTTTTTTAAACATTATGTATAAATATCCCTTAAATATGCACCTCTTTTTCTCTTGTAATTTGTTGTATACTTTCAACTTTACAATAATTTTATAATTCTTAAAATTATAATTTTTTAACTTAATCTTATAATAATTATATAATTCTTAAAAATTATAATTTTTAAAATAAATTTTAAATTAACTTTCTTTTAATAGAAACATAATTATTATTTAAAATGATTTAATTTTCAATGGAAAACATTTTATAAGGAAAAACTTATTGCTAGATTTCTGTAATATCGTTCAGGACTATATTTATTATTATAGTAATTACTATTTTAAATAATAGCGTTTAATTTGTAACATGATGATTTAATTTATTTGATAGTTTTATAGTAATATGTTTATTAACACCTTGATCATCATCTCGCGTTCGTCCGCTTTTCCGACCAGTCAGAGGCACATGAATCGCGCTTCTTACACGTAAAAATAGATCCTACGGATGGACACTGACCTTGCCATTGCGCAATGGTACAATGGTCCGAAAGATTACTATAGTATAGCGAAATAATAATAGTGCCAGTCGAACTACACCGCGTACATGTACTGCATCGCGTCAGACAACGTTAAATTTTGTGCAGAAAAGTTTAAACTAAAAGCAATATTAATGACATCTTTGAAAATATAAAACAGAAAATTTTTAATTTAGTTTCAATATCTAAATAATATGGACGGAACAACATTGGACAGTGTGTGATAAAAAAAAAACAAATTAATGGATCGACTTTATCCATTGTGATCAGAATAACCATCAGACTTTTTGTTTTTAGTTATTCACTACTACTGCGTGTTAACACGTGCGTAGCAGATGATATTTCAAGTTCTTTATATAACCGATTTGTTTATTTAAATGATTGTACGCTTGCAAATCGCATTTAGCGCATAGATTAAGAAATATGTCACGTATCAATTATAACTGCATATTAATATAATGAATAAAATAAATAATAGAAATAACATAATTAAATAAATAAAATAAATGATATAATAAAATTATAAAAATACTTGTTCTATTTTAGATAAGATAAATTTAAAAATGTTAGTTAATTCGGGAGTCATTTTTATTAAAATATAAATTTCGTATCTAAGATAACGCAGAAGAACGATAAAGGCCAGTTAATGTGCTTTTAAAATATCACGCTTCGATTTTGCGCAAGCAATCATACGACCTGATAGCGCAATTTACGAAGAATTTACCGATTTTCTCACTCGATACGTCTTCGTGAGCTCGAGTCTTATGGAAAGTTTCGTGAAAGTCAATGAGACAGAGGTTGGCCGAAATCCTGACTGATCGACGTGGATTCGAATGGTCGTATATATAAGCCTAAAAATATACGGTGAGATCATTGAGTACACGCGACATTCCGTCGACAGTCAACAACCGAGTGAATTGCGTTACAAGCGAGCGACATACGAATTTCTATGCGCGATACGCGAATGCGCCAAGCACCAAGAGAATTCCGCGGCTAGCTCGCGACGCGATATCTTCGCGACCGGAATTTGCATTCGACTACCAGTGGTTTCCAGGTCACGTCGGCATGCGCCTGAAGGATGGAATCGGAAATGAGGATGACTCAAGTGCACTTTCTGCCGATCGTGTAATTTAATGGTGATCGGAATATGCTTTTGTGAAGCACTTCGTAACTTCGGAGACGCATGAATTTCTGCACAGAAAAAAAATTTGCAGATATATATTTACTAAATGTAAACATATATTTATTCGATTTAAACATAATTGTCTTATTTTGAATAAATATTTATTTACTATAAATAAATATTTCGTTAGTACTATTGGAGTAAATATTTATTTAAAATCTGCAATTTTTTTTTCAGTGTGTAATTAAAGGGACTTATCAAACAACTCACAATCAGTAAAGTGTAATGTAACACGGATGGATATATTTCTCGATCTATTTCTTAAGCACTTTAATCCAGCAAATAAGCTGTTATTTGTGTCGTTTCGACGTCAAAATAACGTCAAAATGATAACAAATAATCAGCTGTTTGCTAAATTAATATGCTTTAAATTTCAAAAAATAGGCTTTTATTAATAAAACGTCAATTTTGTTTGTTAGGAATATTTAACTTTATAATAACATGAAATATTGCTCATAATTGATTCAGCGGTATTTCGATATGACTAATCGTCATAATCATAAAAGAGATAACGAGAACCCGTGACTACGATTTACGTTTATGTAAATTATGTAAAACTTTTTAAAACATGTCACTGTTTTATATCGAGATTATTTTGAGGATGTGAATTTTTTTACCACATACAATTCAATACGCTCTAACATTCGTTAAATTCTAAGTATTTTGATTGTGTAAATTATGATATCCTATAGCATCAAGGTTTTATAGATAAGAAAAATACTGACAAGGAAACACGGATCGCAGCTGACTCCGAGTTTCTTCGAACGCGTATTTTATCCTATTGACGCACACATTAAGGAAATTTCAATGAACATACAAAGATCGGTCCGCGTGTTAATCTGAAATGTTAACAGTTGCGAATAAACGCAGTAGAAATAAGTTTTATACAACTTCAAATAAGGAAATGAGATGCGAAAAGTTCTTTGCAATGGCAATGATTGAAATACCATGAACTACTATAAATTCGATTTTTAACAAAGCAATCGGGAAATATCGCGACGATCGCGCGACGCAATAAAATAGCTTTAACAACGATAAGATAACATTTCCGGTACTAAACGATCAACGTCACGTCCTAACTTAGAGTGCCACGGGATCCTTGGTGAGATCGGAGCCATCTTGACCGATCGCGTTGCCGATCATTCGATCCTGCGTCATCAGCCAAGACCAGGAGGCGTCTTGCGTTGGCTCTGTCGCAATGAACACTCACCTGATCCACAGAACTGTTGTCGACGTTCCAAAGAAAATGCGATTCACTCGTAATGCGCACGATCACGCGGCGCAATATGCGCAGACAGGACAATCGGTTCACACGTCCGTTTATTGCGTACAGCGAAATTTCTGAACTAAGTTCGAGCTGAGCAAGCTATTCGAGGCGTACCTTTTCTTGAAAGATAGAACGAACGCCGAGCGTGGGGCCCCAGGGTCGGGCGCGCCGATTGGTCGGGCTGGTCCCCGATCCGGTGGAGGGTCGCAGGTAAAAATTATGTGCTGGCAGGTGAGCACCGGTACGCCACCTGGAACCAGAGAAGCTCGGGCTCGCTAGTGGGCTGAAAGATCGTTGGAGAACGCGTCGTGGTTGCCGATCGACTGCGTGGGCGTCGATGCGACGACGAGAGGCTGTGGTCCGGCTGAAAGGAAGTGCGTGGACGATGGGAATGATTGTAAATAAACGGCAGTGTTGAACAGGTCGCGCGAGAATCTGCTTATGGACTTACGATGTTGAACGACGTTTAGCGACTGTTTTCGTTGGCAGATTTCGGAGTAGACAGCGAAGTATAGATAATCAGTTAGATATACGGATAGGAGATATATTTTTGAACTTTGAGTTATTAAACATCAGTAACGTGAGATTGAAAAGGAAGATATTATCTGTGTGGTTGCAAGTACAAAAATAAGATCATCTATTTGTATAATAATAATCGATTAATTTGGATTACTAAAAAGAATATAGGTCAATAAACTTATTCTGAAATAAATTTTTTCTAAAATGAGATGATCAGATATAGAGAGAATTAGAGACAAAGTGATGCATCTTATATACTTCTTGAAAATATGAAATTATAGTAAAGATAACGCACGCATGTACATATTTTTAAAATGTTATAAAGATAAGATAATGACAATAAGTGCATGTTGTAATACGGCTCTAATGCATTTCACAATGCACGATAAAATGCTCAGATGTCTGCAATCCGTAAAAAATAATGATAATGTGTATTAAAAGCAATATTAAAATATTTTTACTTTCTGTACTTCTATATGTGTGTATTCCGTCTCTACTTATTATCAAACTTTTCAAATTAAATGTAGTCTATATTATATACGATAAGATATTGGTATCTATTCTTATTTATGTATTTACAAAAATACAGTTTGTAATTATGTGCTTGGATTGTTATTCCTGTGATTTATAATTATATATATATTAAAAGATTCATAATTAGAAACTTACATAAATATTTAAAGCGTATTTGTGGGTAAATATTGATAGGAATTTTATTATGTCAATAAAAAATTATTTATTGATCTACCATCTGTTGGTATCAATATAATGTATTGAATATAGTGATTGGATATAGTCTAAATAATCGATGATATATTCTAAATAATCGAAAATAATCTGGATTAAAAAAACGTGAACAAATACTCTGAAAAATATAATATTGACATTAAACTCGGAAGCTCTTATATTATGTATGCAACTAGAATAAAGTTCTTCAAATAATTTATGACCGTAATTTTTTCTTTGTGTGAGACAGTTTCCTAAAAATTCTCATACCAAATGCTATTTAGGTGTAGCTGGTATTTGCGCACGATACGGTAAGGTAAACGTAAAATGGGTCAGATAAGATAATGACTTTACAGTCATCGCAAATTGTCTGGCTATGTCGCACTCTGTAGTACTATTTTTTAACACAAAATTATTGCAATAATTTTTTAAAAGGATCACTAATATTTTAAATAATAAATATAACAAAAGAAATACCCGGTAAAATTTTTTCATGTATTATATATAAATATAAACGTTATACATGTACATATATAAATATTCATAAAGATATATAATAAAATATGAAATATATCCGTACATCCTTCTTTCTTCTGTGAAATCATTTATTTTTAGTGTAATAAAAAAATAATAATGAGAAGACATAAAAAATAATTAAAAAAATAATCAATAATAATATCATTTTTAGACCGTACATGTGAGAACCCAATCGATAAACTAGAACCCTATATCGGTCGAAGCTAGATCTTAAAATGCTCAAATAATTCAATCTTGAATCACTAAATATGCTATATACCATGTACTTGACATATCAACTTGTAGTCTAACAAATTGCGCGCCGAAAAGTTTCCGGACTATATAAACGCAATTAAACCACTGTAGTAATTTCGCAAATTAAATTAATTTCTAATAATTTCGATGCTCAAACAGGCATCATATTTTAAAGATGTTAATATGCTGAAAAAACTGTAATTAAATTTATTGTAAAAAATATTACCTCGGCCGGGAGTCGAACCCGGATCTCTTGTATTCTGTACGAGCGTCCTAAGCCATTAGACTATACTAAAAGAAATATATAATTTTCACATTGTTTATTTAAAAAAATTAAATTTGAAGAAATGTGAAAAAATTACTCATACAAAATTTTATACACAATTATATATGAGCAATTTTTTTGCGTTTCTCCAAACTTAATTTTTTCTAAAACAAACAATGAGAAAATTATCCTTTTAATTATTTTTGATTATTTTTTAATTATTTTCTCATTATTATTATTTTTACACTAAAAAGTAATTTTACAAAAGAGAGAAGAATGTACGGACACGTATTTCATATATATCATTATATTATATATGTTTATGAACATTTATACATGTTTATATATGTTTATACATATTTATATATATTTATGTATAAAAAATTTTTTATCGGCCACATTCGTGAATGTTCAGGGAGTATTGAAAAAATAAAATAAAATAGATAATAAAAAATACGTGAGAAATGGGAAAAAAAAACATTTTTATATGTTTATTTGATACAAAATTTTAGCAAATAATGGAGATTTATGCGATGAATATTCATCAATGAATATTATCAATTTATAAAATAATAATCTGCGATATGTACTATCATGTAATTTTATTCTATTAAAGCAGATTTCATTAAAACAAAACTGTAAGTAAAATAATTTAATTATCCATTGTAAAATTCATTACAAAAGGATTTATTACAAAAATTAATAACTAAACTAAAAATATTGTAATAAAAAATCTCGTTTATAAAATTTTTAGTTTGCATATAATGGACACACTTGGAAAGTGTTTCCTGAGACATAAATTTTTTTGGTTATTTAATTTAAATAGTAATATTTGCAGAAATAAATGTATTTACATTCAAAATTGCAGTAGTATGCCATCTAGTGCTTCTTCCTGCAAAGTGTATCGTACATTGCTGGTTATTTCATTTTTTATATAAGTTTCTTGAGTATAATTTATAAAATTCATATAATTTCACAACATAAGTTGTCCTATTTTTCTTAAAAGGTATTACAAATCTGAAAAAAAAACAATTTTTTTAACATATTATATCATATTTATTTATATAATATATTAATTTGAAAATTATTATAAATAATATATTTCTTGATGTAATATTTTTAAAAATATCATTACTACATAAATACTAACAAAGAGTCAGAGGATATTAAAATTGGAATAAATAATAAAATTAATTAAGGAAACAAGGTATCAAATATTATTACATTTTTAGATATTAATTTTTGTAGAGGCCGCCATTTGTTGACAAATATACAACTGTTTTAAATGTTCCTTTACGATGCCTAAATGGTTAAAATTGCTAAAATATATGGGTGTAAAATTATGTAAATATAAACAATATTTTTTCATTAAAGAAATGAAAATTGCAAATGTTACTTGAAGTGATAATTCATGAGTTTCAATTTCAAATCACACATTTATCTGTCGATATGACTGGTATCTGTAAACTCTAGTCTTCAGTGAATGCTGTCCTCTACAGAATGTGAACAGAATATATTTGAAATAACTGCTAAAATTACTTCCTAATGTAATTTCTTGCCTATCATGTCTTGATAAAGTAGAGAATTAGTTATCTCGCAATCTTCTCATTATTCTTATTTGCATTGAGATATCTTGTATTTTATTTACTGCAAAATGAAAAAGACAGGAAAAAAAGAATTAGGAATGTTTTAGATGTACTTTTTAATAAAATGAAAAAGATTTTTTTATGTTGTATTTGAAAGTAATACAAAAGATTTGACGATTAGAATGGCGATTTAAAACCTGAATTAAAAATTATTTTAATAAGCAGCACACGTGTTGTAAAGAAATAATTAAAATAGTTAAAATGGCAAAATTTTTATTTAAACTATAAAATTGTATTTGTTGTTAAATGTTATAAATATTAACTCTGTTGAACTATTTCATATGTATATAATATTCATTTTTATATGGAAAGTATAAATTTCCATTTCAATCACTTTTTACAGAGATACACTTGATACATCTTTAATAGAAGAGATAAAACAAAAGTTTTACCAAGTATATTTTCTTTGAAACTTTAACCTAACTGTAATTTAGTTTCTGTTAGTCTTGCATCACCGACTAAAAAATGATTTTATCTGGTTTGAACGCGCTATCGCGAACCAACGGTTCTTATCAGATAAAAGGTTTTATATTTGTGCATACCGCTTAGACGACAGTCATGTCGTTAGAAGTAACAAGATACTAAAAATTTATATATTTGAATGACTTAGATATTTTTAAGAATTTATTTAGAAAAGTAGAAATAATAGATAATTCTCATTATGCGACTTTATTATTTAATTGTTAATATCGATAACATCGACTATTAAGTAATAGTTTTAACTAACTGTTTATTATCGTGTTTTCTTCTTCTATATAAATTTGCTCGCTTTGTCTTCCTAGTAAAGCAGTTAAAATAAAAAAAAAACAAAATAATTACACGCTGTAAAATAATTTTTCATGCGACTTTAATGTTTGAAACTAATATTAAAAATTATAATTTATTATTAATGTTTATTAATTATTATTTGTGTATTATTAATGTTTATTAATGTATTATTAAATTATTAAATTCTCTAGATTTAGATCTTTTTTAGTATTTCTAAATAGCATTAAAAATATAAGAATTTTGTAGATTCGTTATATGAGAATTTTTATAGTTTTATATGTATTCCTGTGTATTTTCTGCAAAACTACATAAAAATGTCTCTAAGTGTGGCTTTAGATTCACAGTGCGTAAATTTCTTTCCACATGAGAATTTACTCACGATATCTGCTATTAGCTTTTCCTCCTACTTCAAAACTACCGGCCGGCCGCGCAATGCAATGTGTCTCTCCGCTCTTGTATTGCAGAACGGCAAATATTTAATGACCCCTTTTTCTTGGCAAAAGAAAGGGAGAAAAAAGCAATTGCCTGCGCCGCGTTTATACAGGGACGAGGGAAACTGAACTTCATTGTAACAGGAAAGTGCGATAGTGAGGGCATCAACAGCGACGCCGGAATGGCTATCGATGACGGCAATTTATTTATGATTCCGAGAAAATCATCCTCCCATCTTCCTTCCCTCGCGTTTATTGAATACTCCCGCAAGTTTGAGGTCCAACATCATAGTTCGGAGAACTTAAAAATCATTCTGACCTTGTCTCGATACGTAACATCGTTTAGAGAGGGTCGTAAATTAATAATTTAA